GAGAGGGAGGGTAGGGGAGGGGAGGGGGGGAGAGAAAGCTGACGTTCGTGACATCACTTTATTGTTTTTGTTCATTGAAAGTTAAACTTTGATTGCGTTCCGATATTCACTACCGATATTGAAAATCTATATAGTTTACATCACGTATATAATACACGCACCACTCACTAGTCACTATAGATTTTCAGTACTGACAGTGAATCATTAATCTCGGAGTGAACAATTTCTTATTTCTATCCGGCAATTTGAGTGGGAAGAAAGCAAGAGAAAAGGAGCAATTATTTTAATCAAAAGTAATCCTTTTTTTTCTTTTTATTTGTCAAATAAAGTTAGCAAAAATAATTTTGTATACATTTTTTTATTATACATTAAAATTAAATGTATTCCAAAGTGTAAGGTTATGTTGGAAAAAGCCGCAAAATTAATACAAAAATATCTTATTCTTAGATGGATTAACATGTGCTCGAAGGAAATGCTGATGCTGTTTTCGAACATCCCCATGAACATCCAGAGATTGGGCTCCCAGGGGGGTTTTAGTCAGTAAGAATCTGACATACTCCCTGGTCCTTTCTCGAGAACCAGAGGGACCTATGTTTCCCCCTGTACAAAAAAAAAAGTTTAGAGGTAATACCTATATCTAATATAAATGAGTGTGATTTCTATTTGTACAGATTATAGAAACTGATGTAGTCGAGACGAAGCTCACTGATAGAGGAACAAATCAATGAGGAATATAATAACGGCAATGACAGACACATTCGACCAGAATCTGTGATACCTGTGATACCCATTCCAAATTTTTCAATCCAAGCCACACCACTCTCTCAGATGATGTAGTGTATTCAGCTAATCTTTGACAAATTCATAAATGTAATAAATTATTTATGTGTTGTTGCAGGTTGTGGAGAGCATTACTTTTGGAATAATGAGTACATAATGTCTCTATAATTGAAGAAAACAAACATAATAATAGGAATTATGTTTCCAGCATTGTATAGAATTAGTAAAGAGCATTGGAATCAAACGATTGGAGGTCTTGTTTACAACATTTTAAAAACGTTAATGGAGATAAACAGCAAGCTTTTTGATGAACTTACGTCTATCTGTAATCTTAAAACATAATTTGTATTATAATACATATAGAACAACATTTATTTTAGTTTCTTTTTCTTCAGGTCTTTAGATTTTACTGATTTTGCAGATTTTGTTTTCTTAAGGTTTTTAGTTACTACAGATTTCTTTTTTATCTTTCTTACTTTATTTTTATATTTTTTCACAATTTTTTCCAAATTTTCATTTTTATCAAATATCTCAAGTTTTTCTTCTATTTCTTTTGCTTTCTCCAATGCATCATCCTTAAATATTTCATCTGTGGGATTGAGTGCATAAGATTCATCAGGTTTGTTTGCCTTTTGTACCATTTTTTGTTCCACTCTGTTTAAGTATTTATTAGCAGCTTTCTTTGCCAATGATTGCCGATACTAAAATTTTTAAACAGATAAAAGGCATAATTTTTTTTGCATATGTAATTAGATAAATTATGCAATTCTACATTCATCAAATACAAGAATGTTTTATTACCTTGGTTGGAGAAATATAATGTGGATTATCCCATAAAGTATCATTACCGAAACTTCCAGCAAATATCTTGACTGGGTTCAGGACAAACCTTGGTCCAATTTCAGCTAATCCACCATCTTCGGTCAAAATTTGGAAATTTCTGAACCATATCCTGTTGTCCAGAATGCTGAACGTGTACACATGATCAAAGAATGGCTGACTTGTAGGATGATGATTTGGCACACCAAAAATCTGCGTTAATAGCTCTTTCAAAAGACTGTAATGTGCATGTGTGGTGAATTTTTCATCAAAGGATAATAATGGCTGTGATCCCTTTAAACAGTTTCCTGTCATCTTCAGTTCTCCCATTGTGTAAACTGCAGAATAAAATGAATCAGGTGTATACAGTTAATTTCTTATATATAATTTCTTAGTCTGATTATAGGAATAATACACACTGTTTTCTATGAGAAATTTTGCACTTGGACCAGTGGATACATTAGCAAACCACATATAAAGATCACACTTTTTTCGTCCTTCAAACAAAATAGCCTTATTACAATTCTTCATTTCGCACATTTCGTTCACTACTTGTAAGTTTTTAGTGCGTTCCATCTTGCATTCTGGACGATGATGTGGCATTAGTTTTTTCAAATCTTCCATAAGATGTCGATGCCTGTGATTGATACCTCGAGTAGCAAAGACCAATACTCGTTGTCTATTGACCCATTTTATCTATAAGAAAATTATATTTTTTTCTAATTTTGATTTTTTATTGATAGATATACTGCAACATAACCATAGAGATTACAGAAAATAAAGTGCTGATTGTAAAAATTAATCATTTTTTCTAATTATTGAATAAGTGGATTTTTGTTGAATGTTTCTTAAAAGAAGCTTGATACATTTTCTAAAATATAACATTTTTATTTAGAATGTACATTATATGTACATAATATAAATTATTCGTCTACCTTTTTAGCAGCAGATTCATCTGACATTATCTTTTTCGGCTTATTTTCTTTTTCCATTTCTTCCTGTTGCTTTCTCTTCAATATCTTCATCATTTTACGATCAAAAACGTGGTCAAACGTGGTTCTTGAAGAGATTCACAGAATCACCGACGAGATATCATCAAAGACCGGTGGTCTTAAGCCCGTGTCACACTACGCATTGCGGACTCGAATCGGATTTGGAGTACGGACTGCGAATCGTCATCCATCCAATCAGAGCGAAGTAGCAAGGATCTGATTGGATGATTGACAATTCGCAAGTCCGTAATCCAAATCCGATCCGCGTCCGCAATGCGTAGTGTGACACGGGCTTTATGAGATTTAGTGTGACTGGAAAAAAAAACTCGCTACGCGTTCCGGGCCCACTTGATGGTCACAAAAGTTTACCCAGGGCTGACGGTCTTTAATAATATCTCGTCGGTGAAAGAATTCACGCAGATTCAAACTGCCACCAATGGCCGCGTTCGGGTTCGGCAGAGAAAGCGCTCAGCTATCGTCTTGTCAACACTCGACGTTGATTTGTTGATTCTAAAGCTCGTATCAGACTACGCATTGAAGATTGAGATTCAAGATTCAAGATTGAAATTTGACCAATCAGAATAAAGAAATTTTAGTCCTTTTTGTTCTGATTGATCAAATTCCAATCTTTAATCTTCAATCTTCAATTTTCAATGCGTAGTCTGATACGGGCTTAAGGCTGCGGTCGGGAAGACGCTAGAAATACTTTGAAGCATTGCATTAACCAATCAGAATAAATAAATCTTTACTCTTTTTGTCCTGATTGGTCAATCAAATGCTTCGAAGCATTTCTTGCGTGTTCCCGACGGCAGCCTAAAAGTAAAGCGAGGAGTACACACTTTTGCATAAGCGCATGATCATAAGCATAAGAAAATTGATTGGTCCATTTCCTTATGCATAAGAAAATTGACCAATCAATTTCTTTATGCTTATGATTATGCGCTTATGCAAAAGTGTGTGCTCCCCGCTTATGGCCCTCGCACACTGGACACTGGACGCGATGAGCGATGAATGATGGGCGATATCCAATGAGAGCTTTATTTTTTCGGAAAAACAGAGCTCTCAACAGATACTGCCGAAGAGAGAGTATCGTTTTAATCCGAGAGTCAAGGCTGATATCGCGTTTGTGTAGTACGCAGCTAATAAAAGTATTATATATTTTATTCCTAAAATCTGTATCCAGTTGATAACCATCACACTGCAAAATCTCTCCACGCCTATCCTGATAGTGGATTCACGGCGATTTACGGTAAAATAACCTGTAGATCCGCCATCCGCTACTTACAGCTGGATATTGCCCATCGCTCATCGCTCATCACGTCCAGTGTGCGAGGGCCATTGAAGGTGCGAACTCATGCAGCGGAATAGCATAAAGGTACATTTTCACGAGCCGCTGATATCGATCGTATGAGCGACAAAAAGGGTTATGTGATCGAAATGGACGAATCAGCGGCCAGACCGTTGTCACTCATTCGACCATTTCGATCACGTGATCCTTTTTGTCGCTCAAACGATCAATTTCAGCGGCTCGTGAAAATGTACCTTAACGCGGAACAAGAGCAGAACCAATCACAAGCGTTCCACAGTTTTGTTCCGTTTTCAGTAGTTTCTAGTGGAGTAGGTTTCGTAGATCGCGTAAAGGTGCCATTACATGGCAGCAACGAGCATCGAGCGTCTGCGCAGAAATCATTGCGCAGGAATCTGAATGAAATAGATT